ATTTACCCCTCTCAAATAGAAAAGAGCAGAAGGAAAAGGTAACTAGATACTCATTACACACCCAGTGTCAATGTCAAAATGACCATGACCAGCTAACAAGCTATATTATTTCCTCAAATAACAACCCAAATAAATGGAATTGGGCCAAACGCAGGACAAATTTGCACCTGGCTGGATCTTACAGCAATGCCCCAGTGCCAAATCTGTACCACTGTCAGCCTTCAGGAGTTACACAAGGTTGTACATGTGATATGCAGCTACTACTTGTGAAGCAGGAGGGAAGTCACCAGAGACTCTCCTTCCTACCCAATTTAGCAAACATCATTTATGTGCTATGGCAATAAACAGAAAATTTACTCCCTTCCCACATGGATTAACATTATTCACAGAGCTGCAGCACCACACACAGAGTGACTGCATTTTTATATGGAAAATTTCTTGTATATTCATAAGACAATTTCTATTTATGGAAAAATTGTGATAGAAGTGATATTTAAAGCCTGAGCATTCCAACTACACGTTGAACAGGGGAGTTCAATGCTGGCTTTAAGCACAGAAGCAAAAGCTACTCAGAGAAGTTCTGCACTCAGACCTGCGAAGCACCGTTACACTTCAGTTTTACTGCATGCCACCCTTACCTGTGAAGAATTCCTGCTCGATGAATGCAGCTCACAGCTGATACAATTTGAAAGAGATACCAAATCACCATCTGCAAAGGTAGGAACAAAATCTTAAGTGAGATTCAGAGGAAAGTGGTGCACCTGACATACAGATGCACAGCAAGGTGGCCTAACTGTACTATTTAGAGGCTCTTTTGGGAAGTATGTACATCTGTCATTTCCTTGGAAATTTCCAGTTTCAAAAATCTGAGTTTTTTTTTTTTTTTTTTTACAAACAAAAGATTGTTCCAGCATCCTTCATAGTATTTGTCCTGATAAGTGCCACAGAAGTCAAAAGTCATTAAGTGAAAAGAAATGGGAACAGCAAAACTACTAGTCGCCTGTGAAAGAACTGCTGTTGGGCTCTCTAGAATGAGAACTGGGCCATTTAATATTCATATGAGCCAGAGAGCTTTAAAAATAATTTTATATGGAAAACAGTGTAATTATCACAGCAAGAGCAGGAAGCAAAGTGGAAAATAAGGGGAAAGAAAGGGAAAAAAGTCCATGGTTACGAAGATTCAAAGTTAACTACTAAATGAGGCTTAGTCTCATGGAGACTAAGAACCCATGGAATGGCTAAATAGTGAGAGAAGTTGAACACCAACCATGAATAAACACAAACAGATTTTTAAATTTTTAAAAATGTTAGCCAAAACAATAAGGTGACCAAAAGTGAGTTGAGGGTGTTGAGTTCTCTCTTTGTGTAATGCCAGGGACAGCCAAAATTAAAAGGAAAAGAAGAAAAAAAAAATAAAGGATAAGATTTCTGATAACCCATAAACGCTTGAAATATTCAACAGGACAAGGATGTCAGTCCCCAGATCTACACAAAAATTCCCTCAGCATTACTGCAAAAAAAGTGTAATATAAATACACAGATAAACAGTCAGACCCCTACAACATCAGGTCAGCCCCACTGCTCCTTCAAACCTGGCAGAATTACCTCTTCTTCAAATAACTTGTCTTTCTGTCGCAGAATCTTATCGTAGAGGTTCCCTCCTGTAATTATAGGGAGTGAGAAAGAAAGAGGTTTATCCTGGTTAATGACTGCAGTTGTTCTTCTGAGAATGCTCAAATCCTCACAGGAGATCTGATGGTCCATCACAGCTGTCCCTTAGGACTCTTTCAGTTAAACTGGGCAGGCACTAACAAAATCAAGTTCTTCCATCTAAGAACTTCACTGGCATATTAAAGGTTAGGCAGAGATTATTCCTTCTGCTAACATAACCATTCAAAATGCTCTGAAAAATGAGTCAGAAAGAAAGGCTAGCAGTCCCTACTTTTCCATCAGTCAGTGCTTCTTGGAATACGCAAACACGTATAGCCAGTACAACAAATCATGTGGGACTTTTTTACAAAAATAAGTAATTAATTAAAAAGCAAGCAAACAAAAATCAATTACGAGACCAGAGAAGTCCCTGAAAGCAGCAGTTACTGCCTTTCCACACTTATTGCCCAGCTCTGACCTATTTCATCTGTCTGCCGAATGCATCAACAAAGAATTCAAAAACAGAATTGACAACAACAGCATAACCCCAACCGAAGCCTGAAATCATCAAATAATCTCCTCAGTGTGTCAAAATTTGAAGACTGCAGACTTAAAATTAAGAATTAAAAGAAATTATGCACAGATTGCTGCAGGCACGGAACAGTAGGAGCCCCTGCCCTCTTACTAGTAAATCCCAAATCTCTGATCATATTTTACTGCTATTCTGCTTCCTAGTTTTCATATATTATGTCCTAACAAAGGACTAGTGCAAGACAGTTTTCTGCTGTAGGTTATCCCCAAAACAGTTGTAAACATGTAGACCAAAAAAGAAAGAAAGAAAAAAAGTAAACAAAAACATGCAGATGTTCAGGAAAAGGGTGACGATGGCTCCTTTGCCTCCTTATTTCACTTTCACATTAGAAAAAAATTCTAATATTCCAGTTAAGACTCCTTTTACTTATATTCTTCTCATTCTGCCTTGTTATAACCTCTCAACATTTGCTTTTCCTGTCCTATCTTCATTCTTGCAAATGATCTGTAAAAGACTCTGTATTTCCAAATTAACCAA